GACAGCCCATAACTATCATCACATTAATGACCAATAAGCAAACATGTATTAAAGATAACCTGTGTAAATTACTTAGCGCCATTAAAACATAAACCGGCTGTTTGTAAATGTAGCTTATCTGTATACTTTGTCTGTGTGTCCGTGCAGCCGATAAACATCTGTTGTATATAAAGCTTATAAAAATAAACATCTCGTCTATGGGACGTTGAACTTAATGTTTTACAGTTTATGTTAATTGTTAATGTCTTGTAATAGATTTTTAATGTAATAAATAATATTTAGAATAAAATTCAGAGAGCATTCATTCTCCAAAAAGTGCATTATATTTTTTATTTTATTTTGTAGATAGTTTCAACGTTCTTTCTTACCGTGTATGTATTTTTTTTATGTGACAAGCGAGCACACAGTCCACCTGATGGTAAGTGGTTGCTATGGGTCATAGACATCTACATCTATCCTCGATTACGAATCAAGATGCAGATGCGTTGTCACCCGTGAGGACTAAGATGGAATGCCTCGTTTCCAGCAAAGTGGGCACGTGTCAGTTAGTTAACTAACAGAAATAGACGTGGTGCAATTACGGGTTTTAAGGGAGCATTTAAGGAGCAATTAATTGGCATACAGTTTGATTTAAAAAAGTAGATATTTTATGTTTTATAGGAAAATTAAATTTTGGATTTTTTTAAATTAATTATAAATTAACTAATAGCACACGTGGAGCAATTACGGATTCTGAGGGAACATATAAGGAACAATTAATTGGCATACAGTTTAATTTAAAAAAATAATGTTCTACGCTAACTTCCTTCCGGTATCTGTGGTTGGTGGAAAAATTGTTGTACGGACATTTTAATGTAAAAAAATAAATTTGTATTGTTCGGCTTAATGTAGGTTATACATAATTAGTTTTGCCTACCTATACATTTGAGTAAAATGTAACGTGATTTGATGTAATGTGATATGTTTTATATGAAGTCTATATTTTATGGATATGTTTTGGGTGACTTCACATGTCCTCAAATTTATTGTTTTCCTTAAACAGTTGTGACTGCTTCTTTAGTGCTTAGGACGCACAACTGCTTTTTAGTAATCATGTTCCGGTCACTAGTCCCGGATTCGGAGCCCAGAAATTCATTTACTGGGTTTTTCTGTCGAAGAAATCTTAATAGGCACCCCTGAGTCAGGAATTTGGCGGTGATTCACCCCTGTGCCTCGGAAAGCACGTAAAACCCGCCCTGCGCCTGATGTCTCTCCAATTGTCTCTCGGATTACCGTTTTATCGGACTATGCGAGTGAAGGAATAGAAATTGCACCTGTGCTTGTACACACAAACTTGTGCAATATAATCCTGTCTTGTGCAGATGGCTAGTATCCGTTCAGACTGGCCATGACATTATTTTCATGATTAAAAGTGATATTTTTATTGTAATTCTCACCTGGCAAACCGACAAGCGAACACACCTGCTGCTCAAAATTATTGCAATATCGCACGTAAACATTAAATTGCAGAATGCAAGACATTTTACCCTTCATAAGGAAACCCTCTTGAAAGGAGGGACGGTTAGCACTCCCCTTGAGCATGATGGAACACTATACGCGGTAGAGTCATGCTGCAGCTATATTAGTAGTATAGTTACAGCACGAATGGGTCGGCTCGACGGGAAGGACCAGGCTCTCACAGAATAACCAGCGTAAAATAGAAGTTCAATGCTGCTGTGTATCGTTCGTATGGTGAGTGTAGAGAACCGGATACCCTTTTTACTGTATACAAGGCACTCCATCTTAGTCCTCAGGGGTAACAACGCATCTGCATTTTGATTCTTAATCGAATGTAGATAGATATATTATGAGCCACAGCACCTATTAAATAAAAATCTTTATTAAGTGGCGAAGCTTGCGAAGTCTCTTATTGATTTCACGATGTCTGTCCGTCTGTCCCACGATTATCTCGAGAATGGTTTCGAATTTTCAAATTCTGTTTTCAGCAATCGATTACTGATCACCCAGGCATCTGAACCTCCTATTTTGAAACTGATTGCTCAACGGCAACCGTTAGAAACCGCTACAAAGCTGATTGCTTCGCCACTTTGCTATGCTGTTAGCTTGCTAGGTTTATTATTATTACCATCAGGTGGGCTGTGTACTCGCTTCTCACCCTAATTCTATAAAAAATATATCAGCCTAACTTACCTACTGCACTCTTGATAAGCAAGGCATATTCTAAACGCGCAGCTTCTCTGAATTAGTTTTTATCGTATTAACATTTCATTATAAAATAACATTGATTTTAATAGATAATTTTTGCTCTGTATTTTATTATTATTATAACCTAGTGAGAAGTCAGCAAAAACTTAGAAAGGAACAATGTATCTGAACATTATCTAGCAACGTTTCGAGGCTAATGACCTTACTAAGATTGAACCGAAGTGTGGTTACCATGTATTTTGTAATCTCTAGGACAGTTCCGAGTTGAGAAGCCTTTACATTTCACATTAAATTACCAGTCAATGCTAACTAGCCAAATGATTTACCGAGTGTCACCGTACGGTATTTCCTCTCAACTCAAGTCAATGGGATATAATATGAGCCATAATTTGGATGTCATTATTTTATGTAGCATTGATTTATGGTAAAACTTTGACGGAAGAAAACATAATTATCATCAACGTTTTTATTTTTAACAGTGGTAGAGCCACGCGGCAGCTTTTGCTGTCGCACGGATGGGCCGGCTCGAACCTGGGTAGTACCACGACCTCACAGAAAACCAGCGTGAAGTAGAGGTTTACCTCTGCGTTTCGCTTGGTGAGTGCAGGTGGCCGGAGGCCCTTTTTACTGGAAATGAGGCATTCCATCTTAGTCCTCACGGGTGACAACGCATCTACATTTTAATTTGTAACAGAGGATAGATGTCGATGTCTATGGGCCGCAGCAACCACTTACCATCAGGTGGACTGTGTGCTCGTTTGTCACCCTTATCCTATAAAAAAAAAATTACATATGGCCACCAGTTACTAACCTTAAGACCGAGAGCTTTAAAATCTTTGAGGCCAACAGGAAAGACGTCATTAAATAATGGAGTTTTTTTTTCCGTATATATTTTCCATACACTCAAATTTATTCCCACTAACCAACGAAATTATTATACAAGGAAAACGATGTCCAGCGCTCGAGCTAACTTGAGACACGAAAAGGAAACTGTCCCACAAACAACAATAAATATGGTTAAAAGCTAAGCTTTAAAATTACATTTTCAAAGTAATTAAGAATACTGACGTTAAGCTGAGTTTAAAACTCAATTATTTTATGCGTCAGTCAATGAAGCACGATGAAAAAGATCTAGATAGATACAGCGGTTATTATTCAAAGAGTATCCAAATTTTAAACTTAGTTGAATAACATAGGTATGTAAATAATGACATAAAGTTATTGCAGTTTTTGAAAATAGGACTAAATAAGGCTTCTACTTTTATTTGAAACTACCCCAATGTGATTTATAGGCAACAACGTTATTGCCTACCAATCGACCCTTACGAATGTGTGCGTGTTAAAATTAAAAATTTTGTACAGCCGACTTCAATATGAGTTATTAAGAATAACTCAAAAACTATTGGTCTGACCTTGATCAAATTCATATGGGACCACACGAGAAGTACCAACTTTCAAACAAAAAAGACCTATTTGTACTATAAACGAGGCATTCAATCCAGTCCTCAAGAGGTGACATCGCAATCGCCTTCTTTGTTTGAAGTTTGTTGCAGATGTCAGATAAGATCGTTAGTAGCCTTAATGTTATTAAAAAAAATATGTTGTCTTCCAACGATTATTTCTCACATCATAATTCGTAAAATGTTTTGTTTTACTACATTGTCGCGGTACCTAAATAATGCTAATATTGACAGTTACTTGATTTAATTTCCCAATTAAATAATTTAAAATTGAAAATTTTGTACAACAGACTTCTATATAAATTATTAAGGATAACTCAAGAACTATTGATCAGACCTTGATCAAATTTATATGGGAGCACACGTGAAGCACCAGCTTTCAAATAAAAAAAAAAGAATCATCGAAATCGATTCACCCAGTAAAAAGTTATGAGGTAACACACATAAAAACCATACAGTCGAATTGAGTATAGTCTCCTTTTTAAAGTCGGTAGAAAAAGGAAATGTAGCTAGTGCAAAAATATCAAATGGGCTTTTTTAATTAAATTAAAAAAATCATATTAAAACAATAATAAACACCGTTTTTGATGTCCAGGCTGTGTAATACTATCTTATGCGTTGCAAATTCATAAAAAGTCATTAGCGGTGTTGATTGCGCAATATATTTAAAAAAAAAATGTTGCTAGTGCAAAAATATCAAACGGGCTTTTTCAATTAAATTAAAAAACAAAACAAACATGACACTATTTTATGCGTAGAAAAACCTATACATACATAAAAAGTCAGCTGCGGTAACGGTATTGACTGAGCAATATTTTTTTTTTATTTCTTTAATAAAATATTATACAAAATATAAATATAAATAAAAAAGAACTTTTATGATGGCCTCAACCCCAGTAGGGAATAGGAGCGTAATACCAAAATGAGATTGCTAAATAATAAATTCATTTTTTAATCCTATTTCTATTTATCTTATATTTTTTTACGTGATAGTGCCATGCTGCAGCTATATTAGTAGTATAGTTGTAGCACGAATAGGTCGACTCGACCGGGGAAGGACCACGCTCTCACAGAAAACCAGCGTAAAATGGCAGCTTAACTCTGCTGTGTTTCGTATAGTGAGTGTAGAGAACCGGAGACCCTTTTCACTGGCAAAGAGGCATTCCATCTTAGTCCTCACGGGTGACAACGCATCTGCATCTTGAGTCTTTATTGAGGATAGATGTAGATGTCTATGGGTCACAGTAACCACTTACCATCAGGTGGACTGTGTGCTCGTTTGTCACCCTATCCTATAAAAAAAAACACGTAATAAATGAAAAATGTCGTACTTACAGTGTTATTTCCGCTTGAAATCTGTTTCCTATTTACGGACTTCGCGTCACCACCAACGGCAAACGACCGTCGAAAATTAGTCGAATTATGCCCAATTTCACCGACATCCCCTAAACAATCACATAGTTAGACGACCGCTAAGCTAAAAGGTTCCCTAAACCAACCCATAACTAAAATTTGTTTTCACGAACGCAACGGACTTATAGCTAGGGGACCCTTCCTTATGTGACCGATTTTTTACGACGATAGTGCTTGATACCCAGTTGTAGTTACCGGTTTTATCGGAAATGATATATATTAATACAAAAAATACGTATTCATGTATTATTTTAATGAAGAAATTAGTTCTTTCATATTTTGACTGATATATGTTTTCATTTTGTTAATATTTTAATAAAAATATCATATTTTTAGTTTATGTTTGACAAGTCACCGTATTTGACACTCAGCTTTATCTGTGCATTGACTGTTTGACATTTGTCTCTGCAAGTCACAGCTGCAAGTTTTCGTGGTGTTTTCGTTTGGTATCTCGTTTCTAACTTTTTATTTTATAATTATGGCCGAAAATAAGAGAAAGTGGTGTCAAAATTTCACGTTTGATGAAAAGGATAAACTTGTAAAGTTAATGAATACTTTTAAAAATGTTATATTAAATAAAAAGACGGACGGTACAACAAATCAAGCGAAGAATGAAGCGTGGGTGAATTTGTGCACAAGATTTAATTCCACAGGAACCACGGCTAGGTAAGTTATTGATAAAAATAAACCTTTTGTTTAGTACTTGTTATAGTTGTTTTAAAGTTAAGTTGCCTTTACATCCAAACTTTATAGCTGTAAATAGTTATTGTCATAATTATTATCTTGATTTTGTATAATATGTAATGTGTGTATTAAAGAGTTTCTATTTACTTACTTGAATGAGAAGTTACCTACCTAATACCTGTATTCTCAGTACATTAACCTCTTTATCTACTATGATGAACGTACTGAATTGCCTTTTAATAACCTACCACTAACATTTCAGAAGTAAAGAATCTCTTATGAGAGTCTGGGAGAAAATGAAGACTGATGCGAAGTTATACAAAGCACTTAGCAAAAGCAGTTACAATGGCACAGGAGGTGGCCCATCGTGTGTTAAAACAGATATAATTTTGGAACAAGTCAGTGACTTGATGGGCTGAGCATGTACAGGCATAACTGATGTCCAGGATTCAGATGCTGACCAAATTACTGAAGCCAGTTCATTACCAATACTTGGTGATGAGACAATGGAAATTTTAATATTTCAAAATGAAAATGTTAGTATTTATAGAATTCTCTATTATGTAGGTATATTAAAATTAGAAACTGACTGACAAATAGTCCAAATGCCGTAGTAGAAATCAGGGCAATAAGTTTGTTACATATTATAATATTATATAAAAGTAAGTTATGTATATTATTGTGTTTGTTTAAGGAGATGCTTTCGTTCCTACCAGTGGTTCAATAGAGGGCTAGACAGAGAAACACTACGGGGCGACAACGACAAAATGAACTAAACTGGCAGAATTTTCAATACAAAATTATTTCAGTCATTTGTATAGGTGTCGACCCACTGTATGATTATATTATATTTACACTGTGATTTTTATATTAGAATTTGTTTTGTTACAATTTTAGTGCAATACAAGAAATATGGAAAATATTGAAAATAACGATGTTGGGAATAATAATGACATTGCTCCAACACTGTCATCACCAACATCGTCTCAATTTATAAAGTCCACACCTATATGGAAAAGACGACGACCAATAATTAAAGAAAATAAGGATAAAGCTGAAGTTGTTTCAACGTTATGTGGAGGTTTTAAAGATTTGAATTCTAAAAAGGCTACTGTGGAAGATTTAAAAATTAAAATGTTAGAAGAAGAAATAAAATTTAAAAGAGAATTGTACCAGCTGCAGTTAGAAACAGCTAGAAAGGAATTGGAAATTAAAACTGAAGTATGCAACCAATTAAAAGGTATGTGTTTTATTTATTGGTGAAATTACTATATATATTTTACATAATAAATTAGATATTTATAAGTTATCAAAATATTGTGTAATTTGATTTCTGCGAAATCCATATGACAAAGAAGGTCTGTCAGAAAATGCCATATTATTTATTTGTCCCCTTGCAATTAGCTCTTCCAGGTTAGGCACATCATCATTATTCACAGGCTGTTGCTCATTTCTTAATATGCATATATTATGCAAGATACAGCAAGCTATAATGACATTAATGGCATTGTTTAAAGCTAAACGAATTCCAACCGCAAGTACTGGAAACCTTCGTTTTAGCACACCATATTGCCGTTCTACCACATTTCGTGTTGGGCGTTCGTGTTCGGTATGGGCCTCATTATATTTTCGTTCTCCACTTGTTGTAGGGTTGAGATAAGGTGTCAAGAGATGAGGCTAAAACAAAAATATTTTTAAGTATTATTGTATATAATAATGTAATTTATATGATGTAAAATATTTCTTTTCTATTCCAGGTCACACCTTAAACTTTCAAAATGTATCAGGAATACCTAAAAATGGTTCTGCAAATAACTAGTTTAAGTGTACTTTTTAATTAATTAAATATCCCTTACCCATGCATAATCTTTTTATTAAATAAAAAGTATTTATTTAATCAATATTTTGAGCTCTGTGATGAATGATGTTATTCTTTTTGTTTGTAATTTTTGTAATTCTTTTTGTAACCTACTTAAATTTTAATCAATATTATATTATTATTCTCCTTATTTTTTCTTTTACCTTTAAGGGATAGCCACTATCCCCAAGTAAATGGCTGTCTTCATACTCCCCTCTTTCAAACTTTCTATAAATATAGCTATTTTGGTAAATTGCTGAGTCATGTGTAGAGCCTGGCCAGCGTGCAACAACATCCTGGACCAACAACTTTGCTGATGCAATTGTTTGGACATTTATGGACATGTAGCCTTTCCTGTTTCTAAATAGTTCAGCATCATCTCCACCTATAGATATAAATAATACTTCATCAGCATTGCTTGATAGACTACTAAGAGAAATGAACTTTTAGTGAAAGGTAGTTAAATAAAAATGAGGAATTTACCTGGTGACTGAATTTTTACATGTGTGCAATCAATACAGCCTAGTACATTAGGGAATCTAGCTATATCATAGAAGTCTATCTTAACTCTGTCTTGGTCTCTGTTTGTATCAGGAAATATAATGAATTCTCGACGTAGGGAAACAATTGCTTGAGACACTCGCTTTACTATCCGGCTGGATGTAGCCAAACTAGTACCACCCATATCAGCCACAGCAAGCAAGTGATTGCCTGTGGCATAATATCTTAAAGCTATTAATAATTGATTTATGGGTGGTATGGAATTGTTCCTGTAAAAAATATAAACAACTACAAATTAAAATAGGTAGAAACTTAAGTAAGATATACCTCGGGTATCAATTTACCATGGTAGGTAGGTTAGCACCAAACAGGTACCTACGGCTTACCTATACAGGCTCATTTTCTATTTAAAAGTTACTGTTAGGAGAGCAATAAAGTAACCTTTTATGCTTTTACCTTTATTTCGTAGCTAGGTATAATAGGTAATAAGTGAAAATGTAGGAACCCAGGAACCCACACTTTAACTTAAATATTTAATAAACTACAGTTTTAATAACATTATAGACTATTGTACATACATTAAAATTGATAACATATGTAAATAGTTAGGTACTCACCTATTATCAGGAAATTCCAAAATATGTTCAATTTTTTCCAACAAATATATCACTGTTGATTTAGATAACCTATATCTTCGGAAAAAATCTATTTCATCGAAATCGTTGAAATAATTTGGTCGTTTTCGATATATTTTAGGTCTTCGACTACGATTTATATCAAATATAGTATCAGTTGTGTCTAAATTATCAAGAAAATCAAATAGATCACGGTCCATCTTGTCCTCTAAAAGTCGCTTTTACTTATGTGAAGGTTTATGGGACCAATAATCCATCTCATAAATTTAGGGGATCGTTTAGTCAGTAACGGACCCTTTAAAAGTGGTGAAACGGAAACTATCCCCTAACTGGCCCCTAAATATGCTAAGGGGTCCCATAAATCTTACGGGTCGTTGGTGAAAGTGGGCCCAATTTCACCGACATCCCCTAAACAATCACATAGTTAGACGACCGCTAAGCTAAAAGGTTCCCTAAACCAACCCATAACTAAAATTTGTTTTCACGAACGCAACGGACTTATAGCTAGGGGACCCTTCCTTATGTGACCGATTTTTTACGACGATAGTGCTTGATACCCAGTTGTAGTTACCGGTTTTATCGGAAATGATATATATTAATACAAAAAATACGTATTCATGTATTATTTTAATGAAGAAATTAGTTCTTTCATATTTTGACTGATATATGTTTTCATTTTGTTAATATTTTAATAAAAATATCATATTTTTAGTTTATGTTTGACAAGTCACCGTATTTGACACTCAGCTTTATCTGTGCATTGACTGTTTGACATTTGTCTCTGCAAGTCACAGCTGCAAGTTTTCGTGGTGTTTTCGTTTGGTATCTCGTTTCTAACTTTTTATTTTATAATTATGGCCGAAAATAAGAGAAAGTGGTGTCAAAATTTCACGTTTGATGAAAAGGATAAACTTGTAAAGTTAATGAATACTTTTAAAAATGTTATATTAAATAAAAAGACGGACGGTACAACAAATCAAGCGAAGAATGAAGCGTGGGTGAATTTGTGCACAAGATTTAATTCCACAGGAACCACGGCTAGGTAAGTTATTGATAAAAATAAACCTTTTGTTTAGTACTTGTTATAGTTGTTTTAAAGTTAAGTTGCCTTTACATCCAAACTTTATAGCTGTAAATAGTTATTGTCATAATTATTATCTTGATTTTGTATAATATGTAATGTGTGTATTAAAGAGTTTCTATTTACTTACTTGAATGAGAAGTTACCTACCTAATACCTGTATTCTCAGTACATTAACCTCTTTATCTACTATGATGAACGTACTGAATTGCCTTTTAATAACCTACCACTAACATTTCAGAAGTAAAGAATCTCTTATGAGAGTCTGGGAGAAAATGAAGACTGATGCGAAGTTATACAAAGCACTTAGCAAAAGCAGTTACAATGGCACAGGAGGTGGCCCATCGTGTGTTAAAACAGATATAATTTTGGAACAAGTCAGTGACTTGATGGGCTGAGCATGTACAGGCATAACTGATGTCCAGGATTCAGATGCTGACCAAATTACTGAAGCCAGTTCATTACCAATACTTGGTGATGAGACAATGGAAATTTTAATATTTCAAAATGAAAATGTTAGTATTTATAGAATTCTCTATTATGTAGGTATATTAAAATTAGAAACTGACTGACAAATAGTCCAAATGCCGTAGTAGAAATCAGGGCAATAAGTTTGTTACATATTATAATATTATATAAAAGTAAGTTATGTATATTATTGTGTTTGTTTAAGGAGATGCTTTCGTTCCTACCAGTGGTTCAATAGAGGGCTAGACAGAGAAACACTACGGGGCGACAACGACAAAATGAACTAAACTGGCAGAATTTTCAATACAAAATTATTTCAGTCATTTGTATAGGTGTCGACCCACTGTATGATTATATTATATTTACACTGTGATTTTTATATTAGAATTTGTTTTGTTACAATTTTAGTGCAATACAAGAAATATGGAAAATATTGAAAATAACGATGTTGGGAATAATAATGACATTGCTCCAACACTGTCATCACCAACATCGTCTCAATTTATAAAGTCCACACCTATATGGAAAAGACGACGACCAATAATTAAAGAAAATAAGGATAAAGCTGAAGTTGTTTCAACGTTATGTGGAGGTTTTAAAGATTTGAATTCTAAAAAGGCTACTGTGGAAGATTTAAAAATTAAAATGTTAGAAGAAGAAATAAAATTTAAAAGAGAATTGTACCAGCTGCAGTTAGAAACAGCTAGAAAGGAATTGGAAATTAAAACTGAAGTATGCAACCAATTAAAAGGTATGTGTTTTATTTATTGGTGAAATTACTATATATATTTTACATAATAAATTAGATATTTATAAGTTATCAAAATATTGTGTAATTTGATTTCTGCGAAATCCATATGACAAAGAAGGTCTGTCAGAAAATGCCATATTATTTATTTGTCCCCTTGCAATTAGCTCTTCCAGGTTAGGCACATCATCATTATTCACAGGCTGTTGCTCATTTCTTAATATGCATATATTATGCAAGATACAGCAAGCTATAATGACATTAATGGCATTGTTTAAAGCTAAACGAATTCCAACCGCAAGTACTGGAAACCTTCGTTTTAGCACACCATATTGCCGTTCTACCACATTTCGTGTTGGGCGTTCGTGTTCGGTATGGGCCTCATTATATTTTCGTTCTCCACTTGTTGTAGGGTTGAGATAAGGTGTCAAGAGATGAGGCTAAAACAAAAATATTTTTAAGTATTATTGTATATAATAATGTAATTTATATGATGTAAAATATTTCTTTTCTATTCCAGGTCACACCTTAAACTTTCAAAATGTATCAGGAATACCTAAAAATGGTTCTGCAAATAACTAGTTTAAGTGTACTTTTTAATTAATTAAATATCCCTTACCCATGCATAATCTTTTTATTAAATAAAAAGTATTTATTTAATCAATATTTTGAGCTCTGTGATGAATGATGTTATTCTTTTTGTTTGTAATTTTTGTAATTCTTTTTGTAACCTACTTAAATTTTAATCAATATTATATTATTATTCTCCTTATTTTTTCTTTTACCTTTAAGGGATAGCCACTATCCCCAAGTAAATGGCTGTCTTCATACTCCCCTCTTTCAAACTTTCTATAAATATAGCTATTTTGGTAAATTGCTGAGTCATGTGTAGAGCCTGGCCAGCGTGCAACAACATCCTGGACCAACAACTTTGCTGATGCAATTGTTTGGACATTTATGGACATGTAGCCTTTCCTGTTTCTAAATAGTTCAGCATCATCTCCACCTATAGATATAAATAATACTTCATCAGCATTGCTTGATAGACTACTAAGAGAAATGAACTTTTAGTGAAAGGTAGTTAAATAAAAATGAGGAATTTACCTGGTGACTGAATTTTTACATGTGTGCAATCAATACAGCCTAGTACATTAGGGAATCTAGCTATATCATAGAAGTCTATCTTAACTCTGTCTTGGTCTCTGTTTGTATCAGGAAATATAATGAATTCTCGACGTAGGGAAACAATTGCTTGAGACACTCGCTTTACTATCCGGCTGGATGTAGCCAAACTAGTACCACCCATATCAGCCACAGCAAGCAAGTGATTGCCTGTGGCATAATATCTTAAAGCTATTAATAATTGATTTATGGGTGGTATGGAATTGTTCCTGTAAAAAATATAAACAACTACAAATTAAAATAGGTAGAAACTTAAGTAAGATATACCTCGGGTATCAATTTACCATGGTAGGTAGGTTAGCACCAAACAGGTACCTACGGCTTACCTATACAGGCTCATTTTCTATTTAAAAGTTACTGTTAGGAGAGCAATAAAGTAACCTTTTATGCTTTTACCTTTATTTCGTAGCTAGGTATAATAGGTAATAAGTGAAAATGTAGGAACCCAGGAACCCACACTTTAACTTAAATATTTAATAAACTACAGTTTTAATAACATTATAGACTATTGTACATACATTAAAATTGATAACATATGTAAATAGTTAGGTACTCACCTATTATCAGGAAATTCCAAAATATGTTCAATTTTTTCCAACAAATATATCACTGTTGATTTAGATAACCTATATCTTCGGAAAAAATCTATTTCATCGAAATCGTTGAAATAATTTGGTCGTTTTCGATATATTTTAGGTCTTCGACTACGATTTATATCAAATATAGTATCAGTTGTGTCTAAATTATCAAGAAAATCAAATAGATCACGGTCCATCTTGTCCTCTAAAAGTCGCTTTTACTTATGTGAAGGTTTATGGGACCAATAATCCATCTCATAAATTTAGGGGATCGTTTAGTCAGTAACGGACCCTTTAAAAGTGGTGAAACGGAAACTATCCCCTAACTGGCCCCTAAATATGCTAAGGGGTCCCATAAATCTTACGGGTCGTTGGTGAAAGTGGGCATTAGCCTCTTTAAAGTATCATAGCCACTTCCACTTTTGTCAGAGATAATGTAGCATAGAGTAGCTATTGTTTTAAGCAATATTGTACCTTACTTTATTGTTTTTAAATATACAGAGTTATATGTAAAAAAAAAATAAGTTCTCTATAATGTGACAATGTCTAAAACTTTGTTAAATTTTCAAACTTGAAAACTAGTTATAATTTGCTTGCTTTATGAACATTTTTAAATTTTAGAGGCCTATTACAAACTTGTTCCTCGGATGACGAACAAGTACTATGTGAAGTAACCATAACAGTCGACTCCCTTATCGACAAGGTTTGGTTAGACCGTAGTCCTGGCGCATACATATTTTTCCTTCCTTATTGAATTAATTACAACACAAACAAATTCGATCTCCGCTACGAATGACAATAGAGTATTTATAAGTTTGAAACCTTTTGACATTGTTTTGTGTGACTTTACCGGTTTGAAATGCTTTGTTTATACACAGTGGTTTACGTGATGGACATCACAATCATAACAGTCCTTGTAATAGAGATTAAATTTTAAAGCCCTTTATTTTGTTATCTTTGTAATATTAATATTCTTGTTTATTCGAAAGTAGACGTGAGACTATAATCCTAATGTAAACGTGATGAAATGTTTCAATATGCTCATAATAAAATGACTTACGTGGTAGAGCCATGCTGCAGCTATATTACGGTTGTAGCACGAATGGGTCGATTGGACTGGGAATAGAGTACGCACTCACAGATAGCAGTCTTAATGCTGCTGTGTTTTGTATGGTGTGTGTAGAGAACAGGAGACTGTTTTTACTGGAAATGAACATTTCATCTTAATTTTCAGGGGTGACAATGCATCCGCATTTTGATTCTTAATCGAGGATAGATGTAGATGTCTATGAGCCGCAGCATCCACTTACCGTCAGGTGGATATATTATATATGTGCTTGTTTGTGACACATATTCATAGTGTTGCAGCCGCAGAAGGAGTAATCGCGGAAGTATCGTTTTAAATTTGGAAGACTTTTAGAAATGATAAAAAACATTAATTGAAGTTGACTGTTTTCTATTGCAGCGTGACTCTTACTAACTTCTTCGAAATCTTTCAAAATACTGACTAGGCGACTAGAAAGATATCTCGTACACAAATAAAATACGGAGAACCGTCTGATTCAGATTTATAACAGCGATTTAAATCGTGACTAAACGTAGAGAGATAGTCGCAAAATATAAATATTAAGTTAGTTAGTCATTGTGAAGAAATTATTGTTGGACAGCGAGGATATATTACGCATAATAAGATATATATATATGTGTGTGTATATGTGTATATATATGTATATTATTTATTTCGCCCAACGAGGATCATAACGTAGAATGTCAAAATTCATTCAAATTAGATACATTAAGATTTTAAATTATTACATATGATTGTTAATCATACATTATTTAATCTATTATATAAACAAATAATTTTTGTTTGTTTGTATTTTATGCGCCGCCATACGCACACCGTTCATTAGATTGAGCTAAAATTTTGTCAATTTATGTTGCTTGCACTTGCACGAAGGTTATAGGCATAATACAAGTATGTATTACAGTAGGTGGCACGCGTGTCGTACCCACATATTTATTTGAAAGTCATAATATGTCATTCAACATCAATGAATATTATCATTCCTATAATTTTCTGCTCACCAGATGTCGCTAGTTGACACTGAGGTAAAGTTTTTTGTTACACAATGTAATTTAATTGTTTTTTAATAAAAGTTTATCAGTTTCTAGAGAATTATATTAAATATTAATTCACAAAACAATGCGTCAGTGGTTTGCTCTTTAATTTTTTGCACAATTTCAACTTTTTTTTTATTTTTCTACTTTTATGAATATCTGTGGTTGTAAATGTTATCAATATAAAATATAGCTAATAGTACAAAGAGAAACAAAACTTTTATATTTTACGAACAAATTAACTTCCCCACTATGAAATCTGTCAAATATTATATACTTATACCTCACTTTCTAGTGGCGCCGCCTTAGTGGCAGAAAAAGTCTTAGATTCCCTCATTAAACAATAACTCTTCAAATTCAAAACGATATTTTCACAAAAAAAATTCTGCAACAACAACGCGCCGGCTAGTATTTATATAACAAACATTTTTATACATGAAGTAAACGTTTTTGTTAACAATATATATATATATATATATATATATATATATATATATAGTGTGTGTGTGTGTGTGTGTGTGTGTGTGTGTGTGTGTGTGTGTGCGTATGTGTGTGCGCGCGCGTGTGTGTGTGTGTGTGTGCGTGTGTGTGTGTGTGTGTGTGTATATTAATTGATCAAGATAAGTGGATAGAGTATAATTTAATCAGTTATTATATTTTTAATAAGTGAGGAAATTTGTTGAATAATCAGGCTTTGTCGGAAAATCTTATTTTTGTTCTAGTAGCCCTAAGCGCACAACACTAAATCATCTTCAGATTAATTTTATAGGAAAGTATAGAAGATAAACAAGTAAACAAATATTAATTTTTCTATATCCTATAGTCCTATACAGTAAATGGGCAATTCTTCTTTCTTCTTACATATAAATGTTTCGGAAACGGCTATAACGATTTTAATGAGTTTGTATCTAAGTTTATCTAGATAGCTCCCCGAGTTTTTTTTTCTAACGCCGAACATTTTTAGTCGTCAAAGTATTTAGAATATTTCAAATCCCACTTATGCATAATTGAGTAAGAAACATCGAAATATGTATAAGGATTTAGCAGTAAATAAACTGCACTCAAATTTGGTAAAATTGTAAAAACTACGAGGCTGTAATAATATTATAGAATGCAATTAAAAATGGCGGCAACCGTTCGCCTTGGCCGTGGCAAAACCAAAGAACGACCGTGACCGGCTCGGATTACTGCACGCCCGTACTCGATATCATTGTGCCACGATGAAAAACGCCGGCCGTGTCTGTTCCAGAGGTGGTTAATAAATAGGCCCCATTACTGTCAATAAAGTACCTTAATGATTTAGGCGACTATATTTTTTTCTTTATAGATATTACGGTTATTCATCGACCTTTATTATCTACCGACTTTAAAAAGAAGGAGGTACTCACCTCGACTGTATTTTTTTATGTGTATTACCTCATAACTTTGTTCTACGTGAACCGATTTCGATGAATCTTTTTTTATTTGAAAGCTGGTGCCTCTCATGTGGTCCCATATAATCAAGGTCTGACCAATAGGTTTTGAGTTATCTTTAATATTGAAGTCGGTTGTACAAAATTTTTAATTTTAAATTATTTTTATGTCATTATCTTATGACCTGATGAAATTTTCCTGCTCGTCTACGGCGACATCTTTCAGAATTTATTTATTTGTTTATTCTTTAGCGTACTAATCTAACTAAAACTAAACTTAATCAAATATAAGATTACAAAGGGCGGTTTTAATACCTATTGGCATTCTCCAACAGACGACTATGAGTTGTGGTGAGAATAAATGTTGTGGAGAAACGACGCGCTCCGTCGTTTTCCACAGCACTTATTCTCAGATCACCTCCACAGTGTGATAGGTGCAATTAAATTAATAAAAATCTATCAGATAACTGCTTAGAAACAAAAGTGACTCATAAATTAATACTCATAAAATTAATGCCTTGAGGCATTCTGTAGTTAGAGGTGTCCTTTAACTACAGAATGCCTCAAGGCATTAAGTCCGCAGTTTGTATTGTTTTGTTATAAGGATTGCAATAGAGGTCTTATGACTCCGTAACACGACAGGATCGATTTAAGTTTGCACAAGAGACTATAACGTTGTCAAAATAATTAGAGATTTTCTATTTTTTTTTACGATAATCAACATCACTTTAAATATTTGTAAACTTATTTTTTTTTTAGTTTTATTTACAGCCCGTTTATTAAGTTGGTTGGGCACCCCTGCTCTAAGCAATGTCATGTTTTACTTTTATTCGGTAGACTTTATTTACGAGGTCGAAGCAGTCATTGTTCGTGTACTTTCTAAGAATAAATATAATATGACCAAAGTACATAATTCATATACAATGGTATCTTTACCAGCTATCGCTATCAGTTTTTGCTGTTAGAAACGCTGTACGAAAGAATTACTGACTTCGAACCAATTAGCTTTTAACTTCCCGCTATGGAAATCAATGATTTTCAAAAAGTAGGAAAGTTATTGGATTCACCCCGGTTTTCAAAAATCGAGTTCTCATAAGATCTTCACGTTTTGAGGACCTAGGAAGCTATTCTGACTACACCTAGGAGAATGTCCCTTCGTATCTATGTATATGTACGTATGTAAGAGCGTACACACGCGCGTGCATGTTTGATTTTATACATATATAAAAGAAAACTAAAAAATTAAATTATCATACAGTCCCACTCCTGCGATATAGTGCCAAGAATGCTGGCTGAATGGATATACTTAGCCTTTGATTTTTTTATAGAATATGGGTGATAAACGAGCACACAGTCCACCTGATGGTAAATAGATGCTGTGGCCCATAGACATCTACATCTATCTTCGATTAAGAATCAAAATGCAACACCCTTGAGGACTAAGATGGAATGCCTCATTCAAACACAGCAGCATTAAGCTGCTATTTTTGGGTTCGTATTCTGTAAGAGCGTGATCCTTCCCCGGTCGAGCCGACCCATTCGTGCTACAACGACACTAACTGCAGCGTACTACTTACTGGCATACTGGCTCTACCAAGAAGAACCGACAGCAAACGGGGAAGAAAAGTACCTAAGGGACAACACCTCTTAGCGGCATTCAGACGAGGTGTAAATAACGATAATGAAGATTCAATTAAGAGTATGATACTTCCGCAACCTAATTTCAACATAGCCCTACCACGGATACGAGGTCAGATTTCACGATAATTTAATTTAATTTAATAAATATTGCAATCAGTTATTTCAGGAAAGAGTGACAAAGCAAATTTACATAGCTGAAGTGAACGGCAGAGAAGACACGGGATGCCCTAGACGAAAGTATATCGACCAAATTGGCGATACAGTGGATTCTGGGTATAAGGACGATGAAGGGACCACTATTTTCGTAGTTATATCAGGAAGTCGTTACAGGCAAAGGTAACAAATTCAATACATTGCAGTTGCTACTCAGTATATCACTTTGTAACTGAACCATAAATTTAACTCCGAAACTTACACGCTTCCCTACCTACTTAGCTGATATCTATAAACAAAAGGTAAAGGTCTCCACCGTCCATCCGTGTGGATGTAAACAAAAGATAAGAAATGTTAGTGA